TTAAATATAATTAACATCAATGTTCGCATATGTCATCATTCTGATCCACGCTCTTGTTAGTTGTCCGACCAACACGACGTACGATTTGTCAACGGATCAGGACAGGATCAACCAGAAAGAACAGGAAAAAAACACGCACAGGAACACGATCGTCTGGCGCCTGTTGCACCCACCCATCAGCAAACCAAGCATAACACTCATCTACTGGATCAAAGAAGGTGCGACGCCTGTTTCAATGTAACTGTAAATAAGAACTGCGAGACAGAGTGCAGAGTAGTTGTATCTGTCAACAGACCGATGCTGACCTGCACCTTGAAAAGTGTAACAAGCTAGTACCAATGATCGAATGTCGTTGTCAATGACCGTTTGTAGGAAAACGTTTCTCGAAAGACAACGACCGGACAACAAGTTTTGTTTAACAATATCAACGACGTTTATCCTCGCACCATTCATACGAATTCGAAGAATGGAATGTAATTTATCAACAATAATCAGGGTTCACCCCAGCAAGCCTGGGTTCAATCCCAGTCGGCGCCGCCGGAATGTTCTGAGGCATAACATCTCTGATCAGGGAAGTAAAGCCGTTGGTCTCCGGTTCATGAGTTGATGGGTCGATAGGTAGGGTCCAGATGTGTGAGCTGCCTCCCTGGCGTCGGTAGCATTGGTGCTCAGCACGGAAAACAAGATCGATGGAAAATAAATCAGGGGAAAAAATACTGTTAAATCTATCGTTTCAAAAATCCAAAAAGTTCTCAAAACGCGTAAATCAATGAATGCGGAAAGGCATTTAAAAAGGCGACAAATTGCCATAGTATCGTCTGAAAAGGTTACAAATTGCCATAGAAACCTAACAAAAATAGTCTTGAACCCTAATATGCGTTTTCAAACAAAGTATGGCGTATTTTAATAGTTTTTACATCACTTAATAAATAACACTTAATTAATAAACGCCAAAATAAAATGCCAAAAATAACCGCCATTAGCAACACAAATGCAGAACTGGCATCAAAACTGCTGGCATTAAAAACGGTAAACATTACTAAGGCACTCATAAAAATTCCCTATTAACGCTCTAAAATAATCTTACAACTCCAAAATTGCCCTGATTTAGAAAAAAAAAACAAAATGCAATTTCAATAGTAAAGTTATTATAAGCATTCAACAGCATTATATTTAGAAAGATCGTACATTTTATCGAAGGCTTATAATTTTAAATCCACCATTTTGAAAATCATTCGCCATCTTGGAACCAACATTGTGAAAATAAACCAACATCCAAGAATTGAAATGGAAGGACTTCCCTGAACTTCGACAGGACTTCCCTGAAGATCAGCTGGACTTCCCCGACCTTCGGCAGGCATTCCCTGACGGCAAGAGTTTCCTGAACTACGACAGGACATCCCTGAACCTCGGCAAAACTTTCCCGAAGTTCGGCAGGCTTTCCCTGAGCATTGGCTGGACTTCCTTGAACTTCGGCAGGACTTCGCTAAACTTCAGCAGGACTTCCCTGAATTTCGGCAGAACTTCCCTGAGCTTCGGCAGGACTTCCCTGAACTTTGGCAGGACTTCCCTGAACTTCGGAAGGACTATCCTGAACTTGGAATCTTGGAATTGAAGTTGTCATTTTAATAGTAGAATTTATATAATTATACAATAATATTGTATTTACGAATATGGTCCAAATTTCAATATGTACTTCGCATTTTGCTAATTTGCAATGCTTGTTGGAATTGGTGCATTTTTAATTTGGGTGTGGTTCGAACGGGTGTGAAGTCAGTATCAACGGAAAAGCATTAACTTTCACCTTAAAGCGCCAAAAACAACTTTTAAAAAGGAAATACGTAGCCTCTTAAACCAAAATGGCCTGAAATCGCAAAAGGCACGAAAAATAAGGAAAATGTAGCACATTTTGTTGTATGTACTTCAAGAACCAGCATAATCGCACATAAATACAAATAGATCGTTGTGGCCAGTGAATTTTCATATTGAGATTCCCGGTGCAAATCTTAAACAAGAAACGAAAGTGTTCAATAAATTTGGTATTTAAGAAAATTTCCAAAAAAATTTCAACGCATTTGTTTATAGTCTTCTATTACGACATCTGTTCGAGATTTATGAATTATAAAATTTTTCGTGATCATAGATTAAAAACAAACGATTGAGAAAATATTCAAAATGTGGGATCCTGGAAAAAAAAAATCAAGATCCTAGACATCACCTGGAAAAAATAGCAAGGATTTGATACTTAAAAGATCTTTCAGGATTCTTACAATTTAAAGAGATTTTTTGATAGAATTTTTCCAAGAAATCCTCTTGAAATTTGGGGTGGATTTAAGGAATTAAAGTGTTAATTCAAAGCAAATACTTAGGAGGTTTCCTAAAAAAATCCTGGTAAAAATTCGAAGGGAGCTCTGACCAGCATTCCAAATTTTGAGATACATATAGTCCAAAGATATTTTGTGATGCAGTCCAAGGTATTTCTAGGGAGAAGAAAGGAAGTTCTGAATTTAATTCCTAGGTGATTCAGAAGCGACTTTTGACAGAGTTGAAAACAGTGTTTAAAGGGTTCTCCTTTCCTTTATTTAACGTCAGTCTCTGTTCCGCAATATAGATATCGATTGCCATCCATTGACGGCAATCGAACGTGCAGGAAGGCAGCTTCCACACCTGCGTAGAATATCGCACCCATTCAAACACACATGGGCCGGACCCAACGGCTTCCCTTCCAGAGATTTTTATGCCTCAAAAAAATCCCACCGACCTCGGCTGGGATTGAACCCAGACCCATTGCGGTGAGAAAGCAGTCACGCTTACCACTACACCACCCGCGCCAGCTGAGTTTAAAAGGTTATCTGACGATAATTTCAAAAGAATACTAAAGGAGATTCAGAAAAAGAACTTCAAAAGAATTTCGAAAAAAAAAATATAAAAAAGATCATAATTTGAGGACAATTCTAAAAAAAATGAGGACAATTTAAATGAACATCTTAGAAAAGTTTAAGGAAATATTTTTAACTTCGGTAAACTTCTCCTCCTAACCTCAGCATTGCTTTATCACGGAAAGGCACATTTTTGTAAGCCGGAAGAGGAAATTTAATCAGGATTCATTTTGGAAATAGATGCGACCTATCAATTCAGTAATTTAGTATAGAACTCATGACCTTTTCCTCAGTTAGCAAAAATGGTCACCACTTGGCCACCGCACCCCTTCAATCACAACAAACCACGGCGACCAACTATGTTTTTGAGCTCGGATTAAGCATACCTCATATTAAAATTGGATTTTTTCTTCGCATCGGTCCGATCGAGTTCTATAAGTGTTTATTTTCTACGATTTCTTCTACCAAACAACGAAAAAAATAATCAAACACCGTTGCTTAGGCTTCTTATACGAAGGAGTAATAAATACCCATGCTATTCTACTCAGTATACCCATATTCTACTCAGTAAGCAAAAATGGTCGCTACTAGAACACAGAAAAGAAAAAGATTTCGACTTTCGATTCCTAGCGGCATGAAGCTATTTAAATGGAATGGATTTAATAAGTCATGAGGTAGGGAAATATTAAAAAAAAAACACTATAATAAATCTATATTAAGTTGTGCGAAAATTTAAGGTGCAATTTACTTTCATGCATTTTCGAATAATTCAAATCCGGTTTTTATCGACGCATAATTTCAGATTGCAAAAAGTTCACGTCATTTTGTGTAAAATAGCAAAAGGAATGAAATGATGAGAGTTTTTTGCTATCTAAATTGATGCGTCGAAAAAATTGGGTTTGAATTTTTGGACATCGCACCAAAGTAAATTGCACCTTAATGTGAAGGAGCTTGAGATTTAACCTACGATCTTTTGATCCTTTATAGTTAAATGACTTCTGGGTAAGACTGCTATTTTTTTGTATTTAGGGAAACGATACTGAGAAGCTGATACACACGAACATCGTGCGAAAAATTTGACAACCCAACCCAATTTGTGAGTTCAAATCCCGCCGGGTGCCGGATTTTTTTTCTTGAGCATTTATTATGATCCTTTTTATGTTGTGTTGATCATGACTATCAGCTTCTCAGTATCTTTTCCCTAAAGGTTGTCACCGAACCCTTCATATCAAACCACTACAACCTTTACGATCTGAATAAATATTGCATTTATTTGGTTTCAAATGGTTTTACAGCTAACAACAAATTTGATTGATCAAAGATTATAAAATACATAGTCGAGATGTAAATGAGTAATTTTGACTGACTTGTTACATTTTGAAAGCGCAACAAAAACACTGTTTTCGTTTAAAATCAATGTAATAAAAATGTTGCTGCAGTTGACTATCCTTGTGAATTTAAAAAATTCCCTACATTTTCCTGGTTTAAATAAAACCCCGTCATTCCCTGGTAGAGTTGCCACCCTGGATAATGCAATTCATTAGGGATGTTCACTTTAGCAGACAACCGGTTGCCCGATACAGCGTGTGATGGTGAATTCTAACAACGCTATTGACTTGCGACCTTGAAAAGCTTTTGCGCGAGCGCGAGCGCTATCTATGTACTATTACCGAAGAAATGCGAATAATGTACGGCCCCCTTTGCGCCACCCCACCGGCTCGAGTAAATCTAATTTCGCTACTGCATATTCGCATCGTCCTTTCCGCAGTAGCATGTCACTCCGGACAGCAATGGTGGCTTTGAAAAACCTAATGTTACAATTCCATAAATAGAAAAGTGTCCCTTTTCTTCTCTCGAGGGTGTGAGATAAGTGCGAGTCTATACGCGCAAATATATACGTACTCCTACCAGATCCAAGAGCAAACAACTGAATGCGAATGTCAATGGCGTTAGTTTCAGTAGCAGCAGTGGCGTTCGCTGCTCCCTCTGGAAAACGTGCATTCAAGGACAAAAGTGCATTCGCGTTGTGTTTGCTCACTCATTTCACTGCTGGGGATGACAATCGAATTTGCTTGTTGATTGTCTCGCTGATTGGGTATTTTGTGTGTGTGTGTGACTTACCTCTATACTTTGGAACGAACTGCTGGATGTCGCTGGGAATGTTTTGGTAGAACTCTAGTTCTCGTAGATTCAACGGTTTGATAACGGTGCTCTGATTCAGCAGTAGCAGTCGCGTATGGCCGCCGACCTGGTTGTTTCCCGGGGGAGAATAGAGAGTGAAAAAGATGAAACTGTTAGAACTGGTTGCGGAAAAAGAGTCACACAGCACAACTGCATTATACTCTCTAATTGTGAGCTACATTTTTGCTACATTCTTAGAATCGAACTAACTAACTCAACATGCATTCGGCCAAACCTAAAACAGATACGATACCCACCTGATTATTGAGTGGATACAGAGCAATCTCATCTTCGTCACTCTCAGTGTCGTGTTGCTGCTGCTGCTGTTGCTGCTGATGGTACTGATGATGATGAAGATGATGGTGATGGAAATTGAACTCTTGCGAACAACACTGATCACTACCGACACTGACACTATTACTGCTGTTTCGACGATTGCTAAGAAGATGACTGTGCACGTGCTGATGATGCTGAGTATTGCTAACGACACTGCCACTATTGATGTGACAATTGTTGAGCTGCTCCTGCTGTTGCTGTTGCTGTTGTTGTTGTTGTTGATCGTCGAAGAACGGCGATGGATCGGCGTTGGCGCTTTTGGTTAGGCAGAAACCACTAATGAGCGCCGACGAGTCTGTTCCAAACTGCTGTTGCTGCTGCTGCTGTTGTTGCTGATATTGCAACTGGTGATGTCTCTGCTGCTGCAGCTGCTGTACTGCTGAAATATATTCATCATTTCGTACAGAGAGATGCTGCTGCGACTGACTGAAGACGAAACTTTTTTGCTTCTGTAGCTGCACACTATTGGAGACATGCTGAGTTGTAGTGCGTTCAGTATCTCCCATGCCCCAATGTCCCAGAAAATATACCATACCCTTGTGGCGAAAACTGTACCCTGCTCCGGCAAGAAGTGCGTTCGATATCGGGTGGCGGATTCGCAACGATTACCACCGGCGGAAAGTGAAACCTTATTGTACTGACTAAAGGTCGTTGTACGGCCTGCGGAGCCACCTTAACGACTTTTCCTATGCTCTTGAGAACGAAAGGTCCCGTCCCTTGCTGCGGCGTGTTCTCGCGACTGCGAATGCTTTCCACTTCGTTCGGCGAGCTGCGCGGCGGGCTAGTCACGTTAGATAGAACTGAAATGAAACGGAGAGAAACACGGAAAACTGGTTAGATGCTGTAGGTTCTAGCTAAATTTAGATGTGCAATCGGTGAGGGCGTGGTGGTGTGGCGAACACTTGGTCAGGCGAAATGGGGTCAACATCTTCGACGATGATGAACTGCTGATGCAATAATGTAGCCAGTGACTGAGAAAGTACGTCGTCATAGTTTGACTGCTCTCGGATACGGTAGAATTTATTACTTTTTTTTCAGTGGGAACTGATGACGAGGCGGTGACTTTAGTTCGCTGTGATTCAATTGGACCATCTCTGTTTGCACTGGAGAAGGACATTCTATGGTCAAAGTAATTGGCTGCACACAAATTAAACAAATGGCATGCTTCTAATTCCGGGATTTTGGATGTTGGATTTGTAGTTCGAAACTTTAAGGCTTTGATATTTTATAAGATCTTAGATTTAAGTAAATGTTGAACTTAAAATTTTAACAGTGGCGTCCCGTAACCTCACTTTTTACCTGTGCATCAACTATCAAAACCAGATTTAATATTATTATTATTATTTATCTTTATTAGGGAGGCTTTCAGCCTTGGGCTGGTTCGCCTCCAATGACCAGATTTAATACCATATTCATACTCGACACTTAATCTTCTAGTTTACTCGATATCTATCCATTGCAATCAATATTTTGATAATTGTTTACGATTTGAGAGTTGGTGCACAGGTAGATTGAGGTTAAGGAAACGCCACTGAATTTTAATGGATTTTATTGTAAAATTGATCTCTTAAAACTGAATGTCATTTGTTGAAAATATTTTGTTTATAGAAATTAGATAACATCTTTCTTATAAACATGGAAATTATCCATAAAATTGTGGGAAAACCTGGAATACTCAGGAAATTTTAATAAACAAAATAAGTAGACATAAGAACCAGCTGAAATGTTAATTCAGCTACCCCAATTAATATTGACGGCAAGATTAGAGATGGTTCCATTGTTCTGAAACTTACTGATTTGTTACAAATTCATAGCAACAGTTAGGTTAACTTTGACATAAAGCTATGTTAAAATGTGTGTCGATGCTGTGACACATTTAGCAGATTTCAATTGCAATATTGCATTTAAATGGGGTGCTTCGGGGAATACCCCTCACCATCCCTCTTCCAACGGGGGAGTTTGGTAAAGGGATATGATCAAACCGACTTGTACCTTCCTTAAAAGTTGTCCTTGCTCGCTTTCTACAATTTTCACACTGCCGTACTCAAACGGAACTATCGACTCTATACTTTCATCTCCTCATCTATCGTATAAAAATTACCTTAGTCTGTTATTTGAAATTAGCATCTTCAACTATATTAGTAATAGAAAACTGGATGAACTTGTCTGGGGATGACATTTTAACTTTCATTTTAGCCATAAATTGTCTTCAAAAGATTCGTTTGTATGATCATGCTTCACAATGTGAACGTGACAAAAATTACTCAACTCCTTACTACCACAAATTAGTGGCGCCGGTGGTGTTGTGGTAAGTGTGATTGCCTCTCACCATAGCAGCCCTGGGTTCAATCCCAGTCGGCGCCACCGGGATGTTGTGAGGCATAACATCTCTGATCACACCTTGCTTCGCCGTTGGAAGGGAAGTAAAGCCGTCGGTCCCCGGTTCATGAGTTGATGGGTCGATAGGTAGGGTTCAGGTGTGGGAGTTGCCTCCCTGGCGTCGGTAGCATTGGTGCTCAGCACGGAAAACAATATCGACGGAAAACAAATCAAGGAAAAAATACAACCACAAATTGTTGTAACACTAATAGGATATCGGGTCGTACTGTAACCAATACGAAGCGAATTTTTCCATACAAGCGTTCATTGGAAACATGTTTCGTTTCAATCTCACCACTGAGGCTCCTGCGCAGTGGGACGACGCCGGTTGTAATTGATTTTATTTCATAAATTACTAATTTTATAAATTTTTTCAGATTTTCAAATATAGGGGAAATGCAGGTAATGTCGGCCTAAGTGTCCCTAATTTGGGCCCATACATAAATTCAGCAATCGACTAAATTTTCAATAGCAACCAAAAATATACATAAGTAAAGTCCCAATAACGCGTTAATCTAGATAAAATTGATAAATAGCAGATTTTCAGCGATGGGTCCAATCTTAGATCCATAGGCCAACATAAGAGACATTTCCCCTATTTTAGACTTGTATGCAAAATTTCAGAATAATCCGACAAGAATTGAATTTTGTGCATAGCGGAAAAGATGAAAATTCGATGTAAATCAGTAGATTTTTTACCAAGGCATGACACATTGATCTTTCAAGAAATTGAATGTATATGAATAGTAAATTTCAATGGACTCCTTTTTTCTCAAACCTAACGAGAATAACTAGGGGAAATGTTGGCTTCGGCAATATCTCAACCTATTATCGTCAGGGGGTAAACAACGTCCTTGAGAGCATCTATTGGCTAAATTTTAGTGCTCTGGGACTTTGTTTACCCCCCTGACGATAATAGGTTAAGGTATTGCCGAAGCCAACATTTCCCCTATTTCTTTATGTAATAAAATAATCTACAATCGATTATAATTTCTGTTTACCTAAGCTATTATATTACTAGATCACAATTTTGCATTGAATATAATGTTTAGACTTCTATAACTAAATTGCGCCCAATTGCGTCAATATGGGGTTTGTACTGTCTAAAAGGGTTCTTTCTATATATCTGAACCACATTTTGATCAAGTTTGTGCTTCTAGGGGAAATGGCTCTAATGGATCTAAGGGACGGTACTAATGGATATTTTTGGTCGCTATTGAAAATTAAAATTAGGCCGACATTACATCCATTTCCCCTACATGTTAACATTGCTAATTTTCACGAAGATCTTTTTTTTAGATTATATTTAGGAGGCACCCTAGGCAGGGTTGCTTCTACTCACTTGCTATAAAAAAAAGGATTTTCGCAATACTGAAATCATTTGATGTTATAATGAAAATGTGTACTTGTTAGATCCAAGAAGATATTAAAAGGCAAGTGTTTGACGCATAAAATACTTGGAAGTCTCAGGGAATCTTAGGGAATAACTCAGAAAATTTAATAAATTTTTTTACTAAGGATATTCCAAAGAAAAGAATGCATTTTCTGTCCGTCGGTGATTGGCACTAGATTGCGGAACAGAGTCCGACGTTAAATAAAGGACAGAAGAAGAAGAAGAAGAAGAAGAAGAATGCATTTTGGGATGCTTAAAGGAGGATTACAATTAAATCTGAGAATAACTCCAGGAGATCTTCAAAGAAATTCGGAAAATAACTCCAGGAGAGATTGCCAAACAAATTTAGGGGGAGAAATCTAAGGAATTTGTGAGGAGAAATGAAAATGAATTCTTATGAGGTTTTCAATGTGAGTAGAATTCCAAGAGAAGGAGTGAGATTAAAAAAGAAATCTGAAATGAATTCAATGAAAATTCTGAGAATCTTTCTATATGATTTCTTACTAAGGAGAATTTCAAGGCAATTCCTAGGTTAATAAAAAGAAAATTTGATTCGGAGGATAGTTGCGAGAAGCATTCTAACTATATTTTTGTGATATTTTTTTTAGATATTGCAGAGAAGCGTTCTAAGTGAGTTTCGGGAGAATACGAGCGAATGATGAGGAGACACCTACGATTTGTGCAATCGCATATGCTATGCTATGATGAGGAGAACTCCAAGCGAATTTGCACGAAAAATCTCCATTGAATATGCAATCGACTATTCTGAGGTCTCAGAACAACTTGAAAGTTCCCAAAATATTCCTGAAGTTAATGAAGCTGCCTTGAAGTTCTTTTGTAGTTTGAGAAACTAGCCTCAGCGGCGGCGGTGGTGTAATGGTACGCGTGATTATCTCTCACCCCAGCAGGCTTTTGTTGTTCTGAGGGCATAACATCTCTGATCACGTTTTCCTTCGAAAGGGAAGTAAAGCCATTTGTCCCCGGTTCATGAGTTGTTGGATAGATAGGTAGGATCCAGGTGTAGAAGCTGCTTCCCTGGCGTCGGTAGCATTGGTGCTCAGCACACAAAACAAATCAAGGGGAAAAAAGAAACTAGCCTGATGCTCGCAATAATTTTCATCATTGTTTTTAACTTCTCTAAACTTTTTCGGACTTCCTAAAGTTTCCACAATTTTCCATACGATCATGAATCTTCTCTAAAGTTTTAACAATTCGCTGCTCTGATGATATCTTTTATTTCTTGAAGTTTTAGCTTTTTAGTGAGATCAATATCTTTCTTGACGTTGTCGAAACTTCTCTAAAGTGTTTGCAGTTCTCATGAAGCGTGTTGTACTACCCTGAATTTAATTGAACTGTTCTAAAAATGCTTAAGCTTCCGTAAACTTCTGGACTTATGCGAAAACCTAAATAATTTTCTTAACATCTCTAAAGTTCTCTGAAAATTTGGGCCTTCTTAAAAATTTTCGCTAATTTAGTGAAACTAATGGAACTGAACTCCCATGAAATTTCCCTTGTTTATGGAGCTTTACTAAATTTATTTGAAATGCTCCCGTAATGTCCATGTCTCGGATCTTCCCTTAGTTTCATAGACTTTTAAAAAAGTTATCGAAATATTTCAGAAGATCACTGTACTTCTGTGAAGTTTTCGAAGTTATTCTAAAATTTCAGGAACTTTTTTAAGCTCCTGCAAGAAATAATTAATATAGTTCTATTATTGTCACCGAAGTTCTCAAGATTTGTCGATTTTCAAAACTAACAGCTATTCCAACAGTCTAGAGATTCCTGATGTTTTAAAACTGTCCAAAATATTTCTCAACTTCCTTAAAATTCTCTAGACTGCCCTAAATATCTAAGTATCTTTTTAAAAGAACCCACAATTTTACTGGAATCGATTCAATTGCCTTTAAGTTTTACAATTTTCGTTATGTTTTATAAAGTTTATAAACGCTCACGAAACTTTGTCTTAAATCATTAATTTTCCCTGGAGTCCAGCCCTAAAGTTTCCTATGCTTTTTTTTTGCTCTGTTCGGGATCTAAAACCACTGCGACCAGTAATTTGATCTATTGTAGTATATACCGTGTCCTAAGTTTAGTGCATGTCGTATTACTCCATCACTATTGAGAAATTATAAAGTATTTGATTTTTTTTACAGTTGTCATTCTCGCATTTATCGCAAGGATCCGACTCTAATTGAAAGGTCCCGCTATTTATACCCTTCGGAGTGTTGGAACATCCTCCAAAGGCGCGCCCCTTTGACAGTCAAAATTGGAGAAAAAAAAATTAAGAAATGACACCATGCATCAGAACCCTAGTCATAACCACTTCAAACTAGGGAATAGAAGATTAGGAATCACATAGATGAAGACTAACTAACTATTTTTTTCCTTGTTTCAAGATCATCCTCGTTGGACAAAGCCGAGTCTTGTCACTATCAACAAGGCATAAAAAGTAACAAGGACTAAGATGTGTTCCTTGGATTACTGAAAAATCCTGTTCCCCTAGTTTGAAGTAGTCGGGACTAGGAATCGGTGGTAGATCTTACATCCCGTAACGTACCACGAAAAGGTAATCTACCCACGTTACGGGGTATTTCTATGTTTACCTTAATTTCTCTAAATTGATGAAATGTTCCGGTAAATTTTCTGATGTATATTTATAATGCCTTGAATCTTCTAAAGTTTTCAGATCAATCATATAATTCTCGGAATATCCCATAATTCCAAGGAACTCCTTGTAAGTCGCTGCAAATTTCTTTAAGTTAATGGGATTTTTATGATCGTCCTCAAATTACTCGCAATTTCACTGGATATAACGAAACAATCTAAAAATATCTAAATTTCTAAGAAGTTCTCTGGAATTTCTTGAAAATATCGGTGCTTGCTAAAAGTTCTCGCATTTTTTTTTTTATTAATGGAACTTCGTTGATGTTCTCTAATCAACTTAGCTAAACTTTCGAAAAAATTTAGATCTTGAAATTTCCATGATATAAGACCCTTGAAATACTCTCACATTTTTCGGATGTTCATATAATTTTTATTGCGTTCCAGAAATTTTTTCAGAGCAAACCGAAGTTTCCGGGAATTCCCGGAAATTTTCTTGAAACTTCTTTAAGGTTTCTGCAATTTCCTTGATTTTTTTTTAACTGCCCTTTAATTCTATGATCTGTCTTGATGTTCTCGGAGCTTCCCTAAAGCTCTCAACTCTAATGAAGATCTCGGTTCTGCTTTAAAATAAATGGAATTCTCGTGAACACATATAAACTTCCCTGGAATTCTCTGGATTTCTGTGAAGTTCCTGAAATATATCTGAAATTTTCATAAATTTTCTGAAGGTCTCTGTACCCATTTTTTTTTTTTTTTATTATAGTCACTTTAACACTCTTGGGTCATTCGTGACTTGTCCGGGGTGAGATTTGAACTCGTGACTTTGGCGTGAGAGGTATGGATGTTAACCACTACGCCGGGGTCGCCCTCCTCTGTACCCATTCTCTCGGATCATCTTAAGGGTTCTCGATCTTATTTCAGCACATTATGGAATTATCCTGAATTTGTCTAAGCTCACGCTTATAGATTTTTAAGCCAATCCATAAATGTAGGCCTACTCTACACACTGCAAGAAGAATGATCAATCTTGAAATAAATTCACGTAATTTTTTTTTTTTAAATAGTGATTGATTACAAGAAAAATTGACTTTAGTGACTTGGTCTTAAAAAAGGAAAAAAGTCTCCTTTTTAAGACCAAGACCAAGTTGCTTGAAAAAAGTGACCAAGTCACTAAAAAGTGACTCGCTACCAATCCTGATATATAGTAATCAGAACTCACCCTTGAAAAAGATTTATTGATTCTAAACTTTCCAAAAAAACTTCAAATCTTGAACAAATAATCAAGATCTTAGACTATTTTTTTTTTCAAGATTTTAGGACTTCAAAAATCTAAATTTTCAGGGTCTCTAGAAGATTTTTTTTTCAAAACTTTCAGACTTGCACAAATTGTGCGGGTGGTTACATTTAAAAATATCAGACATAAAACAAAATGTTTCACTTAGAAAAAAAATAATAAGATCCTGAGGATTGAACAAAAGCTTAGATTCTGTGACTAAGGTTAAAAAAAACCTTAAGCAGACCTCAAATAAGAGACATTTCAAAGTTTTAAGTGTAACAAGACAAGGAAGAAATGCACATTGTAGAAATCTTTCAAGGATAAGGATGGGTCTTAAATGGAAATTACTACACTTGGTAATTTGGTATGATGGTAAATAAAATAGAGAAGACTCTGCATACCCCATAATAGAATTCGATCACCCAAATAAATCAAGAGTGCATTTTAAAATAGAAGTATATGCTTTTGTAAAAAAATATTCAAACATCAAATTGTTGAAACTTTTAGCTCACCCTCGCCCCCGCAAGCTAAACCATCTTTACGCTACCTGATGGTGGCGGTAGTTTGCGTGGGCGGGCTAAGAGTTTCGACAAATTGACGTTTGAATCTTTGTTTACAAAAGCAGATACGACTATTTGAAAATTCACTCTTGAAGTATAAATACTATGTTAAAGTTGCAATCAAGCTCCCTGTTATTTTCCGGTTTTCCCCGGTTGTTTCCGATTCTTAGTTAATTCCCGGTCTTTCCGGTTTTCTCGGTTCAGTAGCTTGCAACTATTCATGACGTTCCCTGGATGGAATGGAGCTCTCCATTGGAAGCGAATGGACACCATTGGTAGTCATCGATGGGAACTTACTGGGAGTTGAGAACTGTGAGGTCACCGAACGGCGTAATAGGTTGTTTTCAATAACATGTGATAAAGCCAAAGTCACGTATAAACTCAAACAACTTCTTGGACATGGTTTTGCACTATTAAGTGCATGCGAAGCGTTAATGATAAACCTTGAACGGTAAAGGTTCGTCTCATTTCAGTATCAGCAAAAATGTAATAATTCACACAGCAAAAACTTCATTATGTTGACATGAACCTAGATTTCACATCCAGACAATATTCTTCAATAAAAATGTTACGAAAACATCCACAGTTCAACAACTGTGGTACAACGAGCTGAGCTTATCTATTAAAACTAATTCCAGCAAATGGGATTTCGATTTTAGGGAAACACTTTATAATCCACAACAGAAAATCAAAGCTGTTTATGTGTTGTGTTTTCAATAACATATTGTAATAAAACTTGCAAATCGCAAATCAATCCAATGCTCAATTGTTCACGATCACTTGTGCTTTTACTGGCGATCGATTAATGAATCGGCACGATCGGACTCGAACCTACTAAACTCTACTGAAATATCTTACGATCCACTTGTAAAGTATACTCGGTAATCCACTTGTGCGAATTTTCCCTGTTTCTGCAGTCTTCGAAGCGTACACTCACTTTATTTTCAATTAGCTTCTGTTTCTTCACTTGTTGCTTTTGCATTCCTGGGAAAAATTACTTGCACTAAGCATCATCCATAAATAATAGAACACATAAATCGGACCACGTTAGCGACAGGGTGTGTTGATCCTTTCGAGACCATCAATCTTCGGATAAATGTTAACCACAACTGAACTCACTCACGCGGCGACGACGTATATCAAAGAACTTTTTCATCCGTTAGCATATCTTATCTTCAATCGCTTATTCCAACACTCGATTGCTTTCCGTTGCCATTTGATATCTTGGCTGCTAACTCGTCGTCTGTCTTGTTAGACACTGCGGCAGTTCCCACCGATTACCATTCAATTTACTTTCATTCGAGTCACCTTACAAATGAAAACAAAACGATTAGCAAGAACACACTACATCGCCATCATACGGAGCCAACGTCATAACATGAAAACCGATCCACACAGTCAGGATTCGACGACGCAAAGTGACGCGCTTAGTCACTCACTCGCCACACTTCTTCCCCATCAACACTTGTACGTGCGCCCGGTAACACCATCTTCTGACCGCCTGATAATTGAGCCAAGTTGAACATTCAGCGATATTCGTCGTCATAATAATCACAACCCTGGATGACACTCTAATTAGGTAAACCATTCCGATTCACCCATGCCAACAATCACCCGACATCCATTCTTACGTAAAGCTTCCCCATCATTTCACGCTGCATAGAAGACTCACTTGGAATACTGTTGACAATTCCCAATGCGTCGAACTGCACGATCGTGAATCACGCACGTAAATTTCCGAAGCAAAACCGAGTTTACTTAAAATGCTTTTTTTTTTGTATATCTCCTCTATACGAGAATACCGAGAACCCACTTGACCACTGCGTAGGCCAAGGGGAAAATTCCTTCTTTGAAGGTAGAGAGTTAACCAGCGACTAAACGTCGTGTCGCGTCCAGCCTAGCGCGCAAGCGACGATGGGCAGCGGTTCTCTGCTCTAGAATTTGAGAAAAACCTACTGCGCTCTCTTTTTTTGCTGAGAGACAGCTACTAAGACAAACCAGAATTAATCCACCTACGGTGAGATCTGGCCCTTCATACTAATAGAAATTGAGACAATGAAGTGATATAATAAAGAAATTCTCAAGTGATTAGCGGTATCGCATCATGGATTATGACCCTAGTTTGAAACTGGCAACTTCCCCGGAGGTATCCGAAACATATCCGGATGTAGTCAATGTGGTCCTAGGCACTCCGAATGACTTCCATTGAACTGGTTTTTGAATACTTTGGAAACTTCCCCGGGGGTACTCGGAACGTGTCCGGCTGTGGCAAGGCCAGTGTGATTCTGGGCTCTCCAAATGATATCCTATAACTATTTTTTGAATTCTAATGTGGTTTGATTTCATCATGTGGGGTGACATGATAGATTTTATTCGTTTCTAGTCAGATTCAGTCTCATTACCCATATAATCCGAAACATTTTCGGGCCATATCTCCGGAACTAGTTGACGGATTTCAAAAACATTGTTATATACACGCACGCACACAGCCATTTTCCAATTTCGCCGAGCTGATTCGAATGATATACGTATACCTTACCCTTTATAAGAAGGGTAAAAATGTTACTTTACCGTGATATTGAGCTCCAATACCAATGTGCTTAGGAGAGAGAGAACAAAGAACGCGCGTGGCTGGCTTGAACGGCCGGTCACTACCTACATATCAAGGGTAGTATTTTACCCAGGGGCGTCACCAGAGATAGCTTTAACGTTCATAACAAAAAATGCAAGAACATTCGTAGACTCATAATTAAGTTGATTTATGTAAACTTAGTATGCATTCAACTTAGGGGATGTTCATAAACTACGTAGGTTTTTGCACCCCTTCTCTCCACGTACACTAATCCATACATACTTTCGGAAATTTGTATGAACTGATTAGATATGGATTGTCAAAACTGATTTTTTCCATGGATATGGTAGCTAATCACCCATATTTTCATAATACTAGATGAACTCAACAATTTTGTTGGAAAAATAGCCAAACGGGTTGTTCCATTACATAATAAGCAATGGTGGAAAGTAACTTTAAATACGTTTTTTTTCGGTTTGCAGATTTTGTGCTATGGTACGGACTTGCCATGAGCGGCAGCGTAGATACTTGCCAAATCCCCTAAAGTGTCTACGTGGTTTATGAACAGCCTCTTTCTATTGTTAAACTTTGAGTAATCTATATATACTAGTGGGGTAAAAAGTAGCCTCCTTTGGAATGAAATTTTTTTATGCTTTTTTTTTATTTTATTAAATATAGTCCCCTTTTAGCTCGATACACTTATTCCAGCGATTTTTCAACTTCATGATCCCGTCCGAAAAGTAATTTTTCGGAAGGTCTACAAAATACTCCTCCGCGGCGTCGATGATTTCCTCACGTGAGCTGAATTTTTTATTGATGAGCCATCTTTTGAGATTTGGGAAGAGATAATAGTCTGAGGGAGCCAAATCGGGCGACCCAACAAACCATTTTAGCTGCAGCTTAGTTTATACAGGCAAAAATTAGCTGCATAAGTCAAATTTTGGGCTGTATAAGCTAATCTGCAGCTAAAATTGTTTGTTGGGGAATACGGTGGATGTGGAAGCAATTGGAGCCGTAAGTCATTGATTTTAGCCGTGGTTGCGATGCTCTTGTTCATTTCATGTGAGGCCATTTTGCAGCGATTTCAGCATTCAATCGCTCCAATATACAGTAATACTTGTTGATGGTTTTTCCTTTTTCGAGGTAGTCCACGAAGAGTATGCCATGACAATCCCAGAAAACCGACGCCATAACCTTTCCGACCCATCAAGCCTCCCTCGGCCGCTTCGGAGCACACGTGCCGGTTTCAGTCCATTGCCGGGCACTCATTCCGTTCTCTGGGATGTAATAGTGGATCCAGGTTTCATCAACAGTTACCAATCGACGCCAAAAGTCCGCCCGATTCCGCATCAGCAAGTCCCAACACTCTTTCAAAGTGCTCTCGCATTCGTGTTTTTGGTCAGGAGTGAGCTTGCGCGGTACCCAGCGGATAACTTTTTCATGTGCAGAATCTCGCCCAAAATATGGCGTGTACGTTCAGTACTAATCTTTGCAGTATCTGCTAGCTCGCGCACCTTCACTTTCCGGTCAGCCAACACCATTTAATGTATTTTTTGACATTGTCCTCTGTAACCACATCGGAGGGCCTGCCGCTGCGGACTTGATCGGTAGTGGAGTTGCGGCCACCACGAAACTCTCGAAACCAATATTTCAGTGCCAACATTTCAAAGGGGCGTAATTGCATTTGTAAACAATGGCTTTAGCCGTCGATTTCTCGCGAACTAAAGCTCACTCATGAAAAATAATGACACCAACAGGTAGATAAATGTTTCTTCTACCAGGTGGCATTGTTATTTTGGAGGGGTGAGATTTCATTCGCGAGAAATTGACGGCTAAAGGCATTGTTTACAAAAGCAATTACGCCCCTTTGAAATGTTGGCACTGATTTGACGGTGTAATCTGACGGAGCATTAGCCCCATAATATTTATCCAACTTTTCTTTTGTTTGCTTCGCCGTTTTGCCTTAATATAAACGGACTACAAGGCACCATAACCTTTTTTGCAGTAGCAGCGCATTCTGGCGGTCAAGGAGGTTGCTTTTCACCCCACCTAGTTTATAAAAAATGAATTTCTGTCTGTTTGTCTGACCCTTATAGATTCGGATACTACTGAACCGATCGGCGTGAAAATTTGTATGCAGGGGTTTTTGGGGCCGGGAAAGGTTCTTATGATAGTTCGAGACCCCTCCCCCTCTGTAAGGGACATACAAATGAAACAGAAAAATATAGCATGCTTTTTTGAATCGGCGCATAAACTCAAGCTAATATTGAATCCCGAGCAAGGCCGCGCACACTCAACAAGTATTTAATAAAAAATGAGGGGCTATAGATGCATTCAGGGCACAATCAAATCAAAGTGGCCCCGTTAATTTCAAAGATGTATAGCCAAGGGCGTGAACAGGATTATAAATAGAGAAGTGCAAGAACTTGAAAAAACTGCTAATATTTCAAATCAAAAGAAATCTACATCTGGAAGTTGATAATTTGTTTTACTGACTTCGATTTATCGCAAATTTTTCAAAGTCTTAGATTTACAAAAATTAGCTAAAACTATAAGTTTGGAAAATTTGCCTAAGCTTAAGACAGTAGGAGTTTTTAATGTGCCAAAAATCTAAAAATAAATGAATTCTCAGACAATTGATTTATTTTAATCTCACAATCTTAAACATTCCAAAATACGGTATTTCGAATATTTGTGTTAGCTTCTTATGTTCCAGAAGCTTGAAAATTTCTCAACGTTCGGAATATAAGAGCTCACATTTTATAAGTCCTAAAAATCGATAAATAAAAATCTCCTAACCTTGAAGATTTTTCTTAATCCAGAATCATAGTTCTATTGATTTTAGGCATTAAATTAAATTAAAAAGAATCGAAATCTCAGAATACTGTTTGCTTTTCGAATCCAATTTTTTTTTTTATCTCGATAATATTTGTGTTTTTGAATCAACTTGGAATTTTACCCACGATTTTTATTAGTATTGTCTCAAACCATTCCTTAGAATCAACTTAAAGTTTCCGCAGAGCTCATCTTAAGTATTCTCTAACAATTTGCTTGCAATTCTCATTAAAATCTTAACAATTCTCGCTGTATTTGCTAGGAATTCCCCAAAGAATTCTTCTGAAAATATCTCTCCTCAGTATTCACTAAGTATTCTCCCTAAATCTCATTGATTAGTCTTCTGAATTCCTTCTATACTCCGCTCAGAATTCTCTTGTAGGGGTCCCGTGAATTCCTTGAAATGGTCCTCAGAATTACCCTAGGAACTCTTCTTTGAGTTCTCAACGATGAACAACATTGAAACTCCAGTGGCGTTTCCTTAACCTCAATCTACCTGTGCACCAACTCTCAAAACATAAACAAGTATCAAAATATTTCTTGCAATTGATAGATATCGAGTAAACTAGAAGATAAAGTGTATTTTTCAACCGATTCGAGTATGAATGTGACATTAAATATGGTATTGAAAGTTGGTGCACAGGTAAAAAGTGAGGTTACGGGACGCCATTGTGAAACTCCTTTGAAATTTATCTCAAAGTTTTGTTGTAAATTTCCTTGCTTTTTTTTTAAATTATCCTCAGAATTTTAATTAAATTCTTTTAAGAATTGCCTTTATATTCTACACTTTGAATTCTATTTACAAGTACCTTGAAATTCTCCTAAGAATTCGCTTTCTCGTTACAAAGAAAAGTCTCTTGAGTTTTAGTCAGAACCAGGGCTGGTAAATATCACGGCCGTCATGTGACAATGAGAAAACAGGTACTCTCACTATCACAGCCGAAACTATCTATCATTAGTTTTCTTGTCATTTTCCAATGATCAACCACTCATGAGAATAATTCTATTCCGGTTAATACATCTACATTTCTAACTGATTTAGATTAATTCAAGCTAGTAACCGTATGTAATCGGTAGAGTGAATATATTATTACGATTTTCTCTGTACAAGTAACTTTAAAAGCAATAAATGAGCTAGTACTTACGATGATCACAACAGGTCAACACGAATGTCACAGAAGTGATAAAGTGTCACTAATAAATAATAATAATAATAATAACAACAGGTCATGTCATGACGAAA